ACTTGCACAATAACATAAATTTACTGTACACTGCTATCATGGGCACATAAACTATACCTATCTATAAAAACTGAAAAAACTTGACCACTTTCAATCATTAGTTAACAATTCATGCTCTGAGAATTATTCCTATCATTTACACCTGGTCAATCGCGCATGGAATTAAGCAACGAAGATTGTCTTGGCCACCGAAAAGATGTGGAAAGGAACTTGGAAATGATGGAACTGCCTGCATTAACACATAACCACATTGAATCTCCTTAATATGACTTGCAAGAGGTGATGTTTCATGAAAGTACAAAAATAGAACAGATATTAGCTTCACTATTTTCGTGGAACTAATCAGAAACAAGTAACAAAAATTACATGATTCACTATCATACGCAGCATAGCCAAGGAAAATACCTGCACAGGTGGAAAACTAACTTTTCCAATATGATCTTCACCGGTGAAACCAAAAATTCCAACAACCTGGATAGATGATTACAAAAACTTGAATAAGGAGGTACATCAAATATCCATAAAAATAATGCTCAGTAGGGAAAAGATTGTAAATCACCTTATTATATGTGACGCACTTTCCAACCTTCACCATGTTCTTGTAAAAGGCACTGCGTAGAAAATTAAACATAAAATCAGTCAGCAAGTGTTACAACACACACTTACACACAGTATTCATGAATGATAGAATCACGCCCCTGTCAAAGTTTGAAAACAGAAGGCTCCCCATCGAAGCTTGTCAAGCAGTTTGCATCTCATAAGGTGATCACTTGGTGGAACATCCAACATTAACTTCAAATTCACGAGGCCCTTTGACGTAAATTCATTAAGAAACTAAGGATTTTAAAGCCAACAAGATTTTCCTATTTTAAAAAAAAGAGGCTTGCATAGAATCCCAAAATCTCAAACCCCCTAACTTGGGCAGAAAAGTAAATGAAGGCTTGCATAGCATACTCTAGGCCATTGATAAAAAAATTGAAACACAAATTGAGCAACAGTCAACCTGCAGAAGTATTAAATTAGTAATGGACTTAAACGTACATATGTGTTACTTACCCACCAACATAATCAAAATCTGAGAAAATGAAGGTTCTTGTTACGTCAAAACCACAAGCAATAATGTCCTTGGCATTCTCCCTGGCCAGTCTCTGGCTCTCTTCCACAGTCAGATTTTTCCACATGCATTTCTCATCATCAGTAAGTTGAATAACAAGAGGAACCTTAAAGGCCTCTTGCAAATATCTGCAAAAAGCATTCCAGTGATAAATCTTCACAAATTTACCATACAAAGACACTGATTATATATATATATACAGACATACATATGAGTGTGTATAGCATCTGTCTGTTAAACCCTAGCCAAAAAAGATAAGCAGAAAGCAAGGTAGGACTTACTTAGTGAACATGAAGGGGATAAGATGACCCAAATGCAATGCCTCAGAGGAAGGTCCTCTTCCTGTGTACAAATAGAACTTCTCTCCTCTCTCATAAGCATCAAGAATTTCATTCAAGTCCCTGCACTCGCTTACAGTCCACTGTCAACTCCACTTCTGTTTTTTTATTTTTTGGTTTAAAAATGTCAAATTTATAATGATTGAAAACAAAATACAACGAGAGAAAGACCTGTGGGCGAAGAAGACGCCGCGACGGAGGAACACGTGGGGAGAACGTGAGGTGAGGCGGTGGATACGGTCGACGAGCGACTGGTCGATCCTCTGACAGCCGAACTGGTCAATGAGCTTATCGTAGTCGATTTTCCCGCCACCTTTGGCCGACACCGTCCATGGATTCACTACCTGCTCTTCTTCACCTTCTCCTTCTCCTTCTCCCTCTCTCTTCTCCATCACTCTCTCTCTCTACCTCCCAGTCTCTGTAATCGGCGGCCTATTTTGCAAGGATACGCGAGCTAGCTTTGTTTTGACAAAAGAAAAGCCCACTATAAGAAGAATGAGAACCAAATTGGGTTATTATAAGTAAGCCCAACACAGAAGCCCAAACTTTGATAATTCATACAATTTAATAAATATATTATTTTAATCGCCGTATTGGTGCTGTATTAGCTAATGGTATGGTATTGTATCGGCGTACCCGTATCAGTACCGATGCAACATAGGTGTTTTTCATGAGATTTTATCAAAAATAGCAAAAATTTGCACCACAATTTCATAAATGTCAAATTTTATTTTAAAAAAAATTTAATATAACTAAAAACTCACATAAATATACTTAAATACCCTCAAAATTAAGACCCAAATAAGAATTTGATCTTTTTATACTAGTCTGCACCATGCTCTTTATCCTAGCCATTCAAAATTATCCAATGCTCTACATTCCGCCACATCACATATTAATACATTTAATTTTCCGAATAGGAGAAAAGAGTTTTTATATCTAAAATAAAAAATAACATAGAATTTCTAAAATAATGGAATTTAGATTTCCATCATTTCAATTTCTAGCAATTGAAGATTTTAGTGTTTGAATTTATGTATGTCGAATTTTGTAAATGCCACTATAAAAATTGTGAAATGACACCAATTTTGGTGGAAATTAAACTTGGAAATTTGATGCTCCAATTTCCATGATTTTTTTTCTACGCATCATTTAATAAATTCCGCGCTTAAGTTGCTAAACAAGAGAATTGTCAATTTCTCCTCTTAATTTCACGTCTTTTAGCTAAATTCCGAGTTATTTTCCCTTATCCAAACAGAGGGTGGTAGTTTTTTTTTTTTCTTAAGCTGTTTGGCTCCTAAGAAAATTTCCAACTTAGTAACTAGAAGTTCCTCTAGGACTCAAAACAAGAATAAATTATGTGATGAAGCTAAGAGACAGTTGATTTCTTAAGCTGTTAATAATCTATAACCTACAAGTTTATTATAAGAGCATCCGCAATGGGGAGGTGTAAAGCCACTTTTACATCTTATTTACACCTCCGAGAGATGCAAATGTCATTTTTGCTCCAATGAGATGGATGCAAATCCAAAGATGTAAATCCGATTTTCTTGTATTTATTCATTTTTTGTGTGTTAGGTTTAATTATTTTTTCTAAACAAACCGACCTAAAAATTTTAAAATTTTGATAAGATATAATTTCATTCAATATGATGTAAATAAAATTAATCTCAACCGTCGGCTTTGATATGTTCTTCACCATTAATCAATGTAGTTGTTAGTTTCATATTTCAATTTGAATGAAATCTGGCCTTACATTAGAGAGTTGTTGAAGAAGAACTTTGTACATTTGCATCATTTTAATAACTTCCCCATTTTAATAAATCTCAGCCACATCTCGGGCCCACCATTTTAATAACCTCCCCATCACAGTCGTATATACATCTCCATTGCAGGACATTCCGGCAACCAAATGTGTATATTTGACATACACCTCCATATACACATTACCACTGTGGATGTTCTAAGCGATAGTCTAGACTAAATGAGATAAGAGAGGGCACTGGCGGACTCAAGAATTTTTTAGCAGAGGTGCAATTTTGAAAAGGCCAACGGAGTCTAACCCACTGAAAAAAGGCATTGACTTATAGACCAAAGGTCTCAGGTTTGAATCCCCACACCATCATAGTTTTATGTATGTGTGAAAAATCCATCTCCCAATGGCGGATCTATTAAGGCTTAAAGAGGTGTAGCTGCATTTTCTCTCGCCGGAAAAACCATTGTGGGTGCTTCAAATTGCCCATTTGCTCAGATGGTGATGGTGCACAGATTATCTTATTTCCATTTTCAACATTTAAGTAAATGTCTTTGTCCTTTTACTTTTATTTATTTTTATATTACTCCATTTACTTAAGTTTACAATGTAAATAAGGAAGTATCCACTATTTGGATTCAAATAAAAATACTAGAAAATCAAATTCCCACCAAATCAAAATATGAAAATTCGGTTTTAGTGCAAAATACGATTTAGGCTAAAAATGATGGCTCATTAAGTCAATATATACTTCATAATAAAATCCCATAAAATCAAGTTTTCTTATTTGATGTGTAAGGAATAAAAGACGCCAAAAATTATCTTGAGAAAATGATTATTTCGAATTCGAAAAACCATTTTTCATACTTAGTCAATATTTTTACATAAAACAATTTTCATGTATGATATGAATGAATGAAGGGACCTAAGGTAAAAAGCCTTAGATGTTCAATCTAGGTAAAAAAACCTTAGATGTTCAATCCACAAGCATCATCACAATCTATAAGTTTTATTTTATGTTCTCTAGTTTTTCAATTATGTTTTCTTTGAACATGAGTAACTAAGTTATTCTCTAGGGCGAGGATGACGCCCGAGCATGGATAGTTATGATTTCTAATGTTATTTAATGGATTCTAAGTTTCTTTTAGATGAATGTTTAATCACTATTTTAATTGTTGCTATTTGTTTAAGTTCTTTGACTGATCACCTTAGGGCTTTGCATCTAGTAAATTGGAAGATGAATTTGAGGCAGAACTCGCAATATAATTCAATTAGCTTCTTGTGATTAAGTGTGGTGAATTACATTATTGCTTGACAAAGAATAATGGTTTGCTTGGTTCTCTCGTTTTCTAGAACGTAATGAATTCAACTTGTTAAATTTATGCCTTAACCAGGATAGATTGCAGGATTGGGTATATGATCTTTGTCTGAACTAGAAAAGAATCTTACACTTAAGGAAAACTATGGTCTGAGTGCCTGAAACAAGAGGTCCTGGGTTCGATCCCAGGCGCTTGCGAATAGAGCAGACTTTGTTGGGAGAGGTCCCCGCTTTGCGCCCGACAGTACCTCGAGGGTTAGTCCCCGCAATCGCGCGGGGGATACCTTGGTTTTCACCAAAAAAGAGTTTTTTTTTAAGTTTATTTAGTTTTAAATTTTGAGGGCATTTAAATTTATTTAAGTGAGCTTTTGGTTATATTTGAAAATTTTTATAAAACTTGAAATTTATGAATTTTTAAAAACTCTTTTTCCATATTCATTTCGTTGCCCTTTGACAGCATCCTTTCGCGGCAACTACAGTAAATAGGGGCCCTATTTTCCGGAATTGAGCCCTAACAATAATAAATAAATAAAACCCCCAAATGCTTCGTCGCTGCCAATGATTCAAATGAAGAGCAATGAAGAAGCCCAAGCACAAGCAGCGAAGAAAACGAGAGAGTTGCCCAATCTCTCGGAATGCCATTCGTGCCACCTGAGAGTCGACATTGCCAATGTCAATGCCAAGAGCAAGCTTCACGTCCTCTACAGCGAGTGGCGCATCGTCCTTCTCTGCAAGAAATGCTTCTCTCGCGTCGAGTCCTCGGAGCTCTGCTCCTATTGCTACTCCACTTCGTCGTCCCAAGAATCTTTCTCTTGCCGCCAGTGTCACCGGAGAGTCCACAGGCATTGCGATTCCGAGTACCGAAGCGTTGCGCGCTTGTCCGATTCTTGTTCGGCCATGGAGTTTTCCGTCTGCGCCGATTGCTGGATTCCGGAGTCGCTGGTCAAGTGGAAAAGGGTTGTGAGCAGTAGCAAGTCTCGAAGGACTGGAAAGAGAAGAGTTGGTTTAGGATTGGGGAAATCTAGGGTTTTGGCCATGGTAGATGACAGGGAAATTGATGATGCCTTTGGTAGCGAAGAGGGCTCAAACAGGAGGGATGAGGATGCTGCTGTTGATGTTGATGATGGGCAGTTGGATGCCATGGACGGCTCTGCTGAGAAGTTGTGTTTGCCGAATTTGAGTGTGTGCTTTTGTGATTCATCAACGGACATTGGGTGTTTGAAGCTGGAACCAAGAGCGCTTGATATTGAAGAAGAGAGTGGGGATGATGATGATGATGATCCGTTGAAGGAAGGAGATTGGAGCTGCTCCAATGGTGATGACTTGGAGTCTCCAGCTTTCTGTAAACAAGAGCAAGAGGAAAGTGTCTGTATTACCACGCCAAAGAAGCAAAGGTGCAATGCAAAGCTTGATCCTTTTTATTTCAAGTATAGGAAAAGGAGCACTCTTGATCGCTATGTATTAACATACAAGAGGAGAAGGCCCAAAAACCTCAACGCTTCTTCTATGGTAACATATAAGAGAAGGAAACCTAAATGCCTCTATGCTTGTTATACGTTTACATATAAGAGGAGGAGACCCAGAATTCTGTATGCTCGTTCAACTGGTCCATCATGAGACCTGTACTTAATCTTGATAACTACAGGTAGTCTTCCTAGGCTTCTTGACTGTATTTCGTTTTTGCTGTTTGAGTTTTGAGTTTCATATGCAGGCATGATATGTGTATTGAGTAGGATGATCCTTTGAGAAAACATTGAAGGGGTGAAGTGATGCTTGAAAACATAAGCGTCTAAATGTGGTGTTCTAGTATGGAACTGATCATGGTGAAATGGATTGATAGCTTGCCCTAAGCAGTGACTGTCATAGTTTTCTGAGTAGAGTTTGATTGAAGGGTTTTCTGAGTTAGTTAAGTTGTTCTTTAGTAAGTTAGATACTTAAGGCTTGACTCAATTAAGAATAACAGAACAAAATAAGAATAACAGAACAAAATAATCTTGTTGTATCTCAATTACAGTTAACTTAAAGCTGATTCTATGTTTATACCAATTGTATTCCAGATAATGAATGGCCTACCTTTAATAGATCAGAGATTTTCTTGCCACTTGATATAGTTTCTAAATGTGCAATCATCATGTTGAACATTTTATTGTAGAAACTCTGATGGAATTTTGTTTCTTCTTTCCTGTGCTTAGCTATTCAGTGAAAATTATGAATGTCTTAGATTACTAAGGGCCCGTTTGATAACCATTTCAATTTTAGTTTTTAGTTTTCATTTTTTGTGCTAGAGTATAGAGGAAGAGGGAGAGTGGAAGTGAGAATGAGAGTGAAGATGGGATTGAGAAGGAAGATGAGAGGGGAGGATGGGAGAGTGGAGTAACAAAAGTGAAAACAAAAACTAAAAACTGAAATCTATTTGAAATTATTTCACTTTCAAGTTTTTGTTTTCACTTTTGTTACTCCTCCCTCCCATCCTCCCTTCTCATCCTCTCTCTCAATCTCATCTTTACTCCCATTCTCACTCTCATTCTCCTCTATACTCTAGCACAAAAAGTGAAAACTAAAAACCAAAATTGAAATGGTTATCAAACGGGCCTTAAGTTTCTCTATTTCTACCAAATCCAGTCAATGGTTTACAAAGTGACTATAAAAATGAAATCTTTTGCAATCCTTTGAACTTGGGAGAAAGGAAAAAAAAACTGCAGCAAGTAATTTCTATTACAAAGACCTAGGGGTATTAAATGACTTTCAACAGATTAATCATGGAGAGTCTTTCTTTGAGCAATATAAAGTTCTCTAATGCTGTCAAGTTTCTTACTGTTCTTTTTCTCATTTTCTTTGCAAGGTCATCACTAGTGCAGTTTTGTACACTATCACACTTGTTGTTTGGATAGTAACTGTCATGACCGGCGACTCTAAGAGAGCTGTTTAGTTTTTTGTTGTATTATAGTTAGAGCTTTATTGTATTGGCGGTTCTGTACACCTTCTCCATAAGGACTGTAATGGTATTGTTTTAAATAAAAGGTCCACATTCAGTAAAAGTTCAGCATTTGATTCATGTAAAACTGTGTGGTTTGTGAAGAAAGGGAGTACTGAAACCCGGGATTGTTAATGCAAATTAGGGAAAACCGATTTGATTGTAGCTTGGAAACGAATCATCTAAGGAGAAAAGGAGTACCTGAGGTAAGTTCCTGTACTCGGTTTTCTTTTTGCTTTGTATCCTCGGCATAATTAGTTTTTGTTATTTAGGCTTTGATTTTTAATTTTAATTTATTTTTATATTGAGTTTTAGGTTATAATCTCTGCCTGTGATTTATGCTGGTTTTCAGTTTTCTAGTTTCTACTTAGATAAACCATTTGCAGAGAAGGCTGCACTAGCTGATGATTTTGTTTAATTTTCAGTTTGGCTGCTGCATTTTTTATTAATGAAGAAAATGAAATAGTGAATAGGTAAATGAAATAATGAAACAAATGTTATGAACGCTTATTTTGTTATGTTTTGAAGGCTTATGCATGTGTTTTGAAGGCTCTATGTTCATCATTTTTTGGCATTGACTTCTACAGTATACAGAGATCTTTCTTTTAGGCTTATTTGGTTAGATTGGATTGCAGCCATTCGTTAGACCTCTAGGTCTTGTAGCCCTCGAGGATTTTCCTTGCTAGTGATCTAGGGGTCTCTATCTTTGCTCTGCTCCCGTGCCTTTGTACTGTCTCTATAGTGCTTCAAGTTAGTGAGAAACTGGAAAGTACTATTTGGGGGGAATGAGGAAGGTTAATGGTCTTCAAGTTCGTGTACAACAAAATTGGGTTCGAGAAATCACTTTGTTTTTTTTGGCAACTAGAAATCATGTTTTACTGCTTCCATTCGAAGATGACGTCATAACAAGTTTGTAAGATTTTTCGGTGTATTTTTTAGATTTTTAATGTATTAATTACGAATTTTAATGTTTTTAATCTATAATGTCTCTATAGTGCATCTGGAGTCACCATAGTGGCCTCGATAGTGCTTCTGTTGTGCCCCTATAGTGCCCCACGTGTTAATTACTTCAATTTAATATTATTTTTCAATGATTTAATTTCAAAAATTCATAATAAATATATTAAAAATCATACAAATACACAAAAACTTGAATTTGTTTCTAAACAAATCAAAACACTAGTTAAAGTCTTTAACCAAGAGATTATGAATTTAGTGTGATTTTTAGAAGTTAAGCATTGAAAAATAGTAATAAATTGAAGAGAATGGCACTTGGAAGCAACTGAACGGTGTGTCGTCAGTTCTTCAGAAGGATTTCACTCTCCCGTAGTTCCACGTGTTATTAAAGTTTTATTTTTGTGTGTGTTCATTGCAGGAGTTCAATTTTCCTGTTACCATTTCTCCTGTGCCCACTTGTTACCCATCTAATTTTTTGACATCTGTCCTTCTACTTAACTCTAAATTAACCGTGTTAAGTTTAATTAAATTAAAAAATGAAAACTAATAATTGAATGAAAAAAAGGACCCAAGAGCGAACTCCCTCCCACCACCCCCGTCCAGTCGGCAGCAACTCCCTCTCCTTCTCGTCACCGGCAAAGCCTCCTTTTCTCTACCCCTCTCTCTCTCTCTCTCTCTCTCTCTCTCTCTTTCAAAGAAGAAGAGTAGGGGAAGAATATAGATCTTGATCCAAAATCAAGGGGGAGAAAGAGAGTTTCCGACGACGAGCAGGAGAGGGGGCTGTGCGGTCAGGGTGGGGTTGTTGACGAATTGGGTGTGGGTGGGAGTTTGCTTGTTGGGTTTTTTTATTTTTATTATTATTTATTTTTTTAGCAGAAGTTATTTCTTATCCAAGCCCCAAACATGGCTTCGAATCTGCTTCAAAGCCTTTGCCTTATCTGGTTTCTTCATGAACATTCCATAAACATTTTGATTTCTTTTATTCTCTTTCCCTTTCTATAAAATTTATGAGAAAGCGAAACAGAGCTTGACGTTGAGAAACCTTGCTGAAGTCCTTTTTTTCATCAATTATTAGTTTTAATTTAATTAAAAGTTAACACTATTAACTACGAGGGGAAGGAAGAAAGGATTTGGTTGGTCTGACTCTGAGCTAGGTATTCATGGATCATGGATCAATGGAGTATTCCAGCAGACAACGTTATCGGGTGTTAGAAATTAAACTCGTGTCGTGCAAAGATCTGAAAGCCTTCAACTTGTTTCAGAAACTCTCAGTTTATGCGATTGTGTCGCTGAAGGTAATTAGCGATGATGCGGAGAAGTAAAAGAAGCCGATGAATGAAGAGGTAGTGGAGCACGAGCAACAAATAAAAAAAGTTTTTCCTTCAATTATTAGTTTTCATTTTTTAATTTAATTAAACTTAACACAGTTAACTTAGAGTTAAGTAGAAAGACAGGTGTTAAAAAATTAGTTGGGTAACAGGTGGGCACAGGAGAAATGGTAACAGGAAAATTGAACTCTCATTTCAACGCTATAGAGATGTAGGCCCCGTTTGGTTCATGAGAAAGGAAACTTGGGGATGAGAAATCAATTGCTTTCTCATGTTTGGTAAGTCAGGCATGGGAAATCGTTGCCTTGGACATGGGAAAGTAGGGGGGAAAGTGAAGTCATCCTCCCTCCTTGAGTTTTACTTTCCCTTCTCATAGGAAAGTAAGGCTAGCATTAAATGCACCTTTTTTTGACTAATTTGTCTTTACTAATAATTTATAATTATAGTTTTATCCAACAACTATTGGTATTCCTATTTTATTTTTTAATTCATAACATATTTTTAATAGGGGTAAAATTGGAAAACTAAGCGAAATTAGTTTTCTATTCTTACTCAAAACAAACATGGGAAAGGAAATAAAGTAATATTTCCGGGTTACTTTCCTGGCATTACCAAACATGGGAAAGGAATCACAATTTCCTGTCCCTTGAGAAATGACATGAGAAATAATTTCCCATCAAATCCTTTCCGTCAACCAAACGGGGCCGTAGAGTAACTATGGATGCATGAAAGTTAAAGCATTGAGAATGACACAAGGCGCAAATTTGATCAATGAAAAAATTCACCAAACTTCAATGAAAAAATCCGAAAAACTCACCCCAAAAATTATACAAATATAAAATTTTAATGACACATGGCACTGCCGGAGAGTGACACCTGCATAAATTACTGATGGTGCACCCTTCAATTGCAGGTGTCTTTCTCTTCAATTTATTAGTATTTTTCAATTGCCACGTGTCTCCGTAGTGCCTCTATAATGCATCTATAGTGCCTCTAAACTGTCTTTATAATGACTCCAGAATGCCTTTAGAGTGACTCTAGTATCTGTATCGTGCATCCAGAATACCTCTATTGTGCCTTTTTTTTTTCTTTTTCTTTTTTCTTTTGAGAGAGCCTCTATTGTGCCTTTATAATGTCTTTATAATGTCTTTAATTTATTACTATTTTTTAATGGTTTAACTTCCAAAATTCATAATAAATTACTAATAAATCAGAAAAATACACAGATAAAATTTTTTGAACTCCTAATAGGAAAATACAAGATATTGATTTGAGCCATATTTGGACGGCTCGGCACTAAGCCGATCGCATCCGTCTGAGCACCAGTCCTATCGGAGAAACTTGTTATATCATCACCATTGTTTATGACAAATGCATTATATAAAATAATTTACATGCATAATAAACATATATATATATATATATAAAGTACATCTTAATATTCCTCTAGCTAAGCTACTTGATTTTAAGTAGCTCATATAAAGACCACTTGTTGAAGTATGTATATTTGTAGAGATTATTTATTTGCATTCTTGAGATAGTAAAATGCTTGCGCTCTCACTAATTTCAGCTCTCTTCCTCTTCCTCTCCCTCTCTCCCTCCACCTCCAATCTCACTCCAAACAACTTGGGCACCCTCTCACTATTCTCCTCCTCTTCTTTCTCAGTCGAGTCTCCATACTTGGCCACCAAGTCAAGAAGCTCCTTGCACTTTCTCTTCATGCTGGTGAGCTCTGAGCTCAAAACCCCATTCTCCTGCTTCAGCCGTTTGTTTTCGTCAACGAGAGAGCTGTAATCGGATGAGGAGGAGGTTGAGGAGTTTGATCTCTGGTCTTCATCAAACTCGTCATGATTTGGCATTGCTTGTGCAGTTTGGTTTAGGGCAATGTTGTTGATTGGCTGTTGCTTGCTGGCCCATGCTTTTCTTCTGCGGATGTCACATAGCTGATCCTTTTCACCCTTTCGGAACTTGTCGTTGCAGAACTCCCACCTGCTTGTTGAAACTTTGCGAAATCCCTAGACATATGTGCAAAATTATTAAAATTCAGCGTAAAATTTTTGTTTTGGTTTTAAGTAAAGATAGAGAAATGAAATATAAGAGAAAAGTTATATTAGAAGAGAGATATGTGAAGGAGGGTAAAAGTATATTTTCTCGTTTGGTGCCTAGGATTGGGTAACTCATTAGATCCAAAGTATATATTGAACGAGGAAATGATGGTAGATGTGAATGATTTTTCATTTGGGAGACTAGAATGGGTACATTATCAGATATTAATTTCCTACCATTTTGTGGGGATTTGATGAGATAAGTTTTATTCATGAGTAATTCCTCTACTTCTACCTTCAACTTCGACAAAAATTTATTTCTTCATTTGACATGCCTTAAACAAGTGAGTTATCCAATCTAATCCAATCCTAGGCACTAAACGAGCGTATGCCTGAAATCAGTAGTTTAAGTTCTTGGACATTCAATTAGTTATTGATCTAATGGTATCTCTTCGTAATCTATAAAGAGGTTCTAAATTCAAATCTTAAACATAGAATAAGATACATGAAGAAATTATCAGCAGCGTAACTACTTTTCAACCAAATAAATGAAGAAAGAAAAATTCTTCCATGCCCGTAAGTAGGTTGTGTGACACTATGGTTTTCTTATGGGACATTGGCCGCTGTCATACTCATGAGTCTACAGTTCATTTATTATCTTTTATGGCTCAGCCGACTCCAATTAAAGTTCAAACCCAACATAAATATATATATAAATGTATATTTAATTTAATTTGGTTGGTCCATCAAAACACCCAAAAACTATTATATTTTAAGTTAGGTTAGACAAGACTAGTGGACCTTTTCATATTAACCCGTAAAATTTGACTCCAAATCAAATCTTAGAAACTCGGTCAACTTGGAATGAAGACTTTTTTTTTTATTGCCCTTCATTTCCTTTTTTTTTTTTTTTTTTTACATGATGGTGATGATGGAACATATATGGCAAGAAAAAATGCATTTGATATGGCAAAGTGCAAGAATTTGATATTGATTAGAAAAGCAGGCAAAATATAAGTATATATGGTTAATAAATTTGTACATACATAAGTATTTAGCTGCCTGACAAAGCTAGAGAAGTTACTATGCTTGAAGAGTGTTGGGAGGAGATCTCTGGCAAACTCCGCCGGCTGCCACACCACGAACGCCGACCCGTCATCGTTCCACGAGATCACGTCGTCGGTGGTGGGATCCTCCACCAGCATGTAGGTCTTCAACAAGAAAGGTGGAGGGCTTGACTTCCTCACATATTCCAGCAAACCCTTCTGGTCACACACACCGTCCATCAATTAATACCTAATCTTGGTACTCAAAACTACTTCT